TGCCTTCTCAAAAAATTCAGCAGAAGGATTGAAACTATTACGATCTGGCAAGACGATCATTCGATTTTATCCCTCAACTCTTCAATCAAAGAGTGAGCCTATAGAAAAGTGGGATAAAAACCACCTTTACTTAAGTGTTATTCAAATCATACTTTAATACGTTTCCACATCAAGTTCATCGTTAGGCAACATGGAACCAAGTTAATGGGCAGTGATAGTCTCCGCGTTTCCAGTTTTGCATATATGCCTTCTCAAAAAATTCAGCAGAAGGATTGAAACTATTACGATCTGGCAAGACGATCATTCGATTTTATTCCTCAACTCTTCAATCAAAGAGTGAGCCTATAGAAAAGTGGGATAAAAACCACCATTTACTTAAGTGTTATTCAAATCATACTTTAATACGTTTCCACATCAAGTTCATCGTTAGGCAACATGGAACCAAGTTCACCTGAAGATCCAGTTGACGATATAGAGAGCTCGATAAGATCCGAGAGCAAACAGATAATGGGCAGTGATAGTCTCCGCGTTTCCAGTGCGAGACAACATAAAGAGCTGCGGCATGATAGCGACAGATTCGAGGTAGATGGAGAAGGTCCACATTACCTGTAGAGTATGGTTGTGAAAGATTATAAAATCATTAAGACAGCAAAAATGACGATGTTTACTGAGTTTTAAAACAGACGCAAATACTTGTTTTACCTCCATAATAGTGAATTCATGGTTAATGAGAAGAGCTAGAACAGCTGCTGGGATGAGCAGGAATTCGATGCGTAATGAATCGTTGTTTCTGGAAATCATTGCAGTAAATAATCTTAAAGAGATATGCGCTATGAGAAAAAAACTAGCAAAACGTGACAGTAAACATTTCGAATTGTAAAAAAAAGCTTGTCAAAAACATTTTTAATGGAAGAAAAAGGAATTCTTCACTGTCTTGTGGTTTCGCGGATTACAACCTCCCACGATTATTAGACTTGATTAGCTTGAGCAGTAAACTGGAATTATGGGATGTATACTCTTTTCAACTAAAAACTAAACAAACGATAAAATCAGGACAAACGCAGAACCTGAGTAGAGAATTTAACAATATGTATGTGGAATATTCCTGAAAAAGAAAAAGAGGGTGTTACTTTTACTAACAAAACATTACAAAAGTAATGCATAATCAGTTCTTATGATTTAACACTTTCAAAAATGACTCTGACAATGAATTAGTATAAAAACGAAAATTATAGTATAGTGAAGCAGATAATGAAGCAAAAAAAGACAAACTAACCGATCGTAAGTAGCTTTGAACTTGACCCACATTAGGTACACGGTTCCGATGGAAGACGCAAGAAAGAACACATAAAAAGATGATGTTAAAAAGAGTTGGTGACAGATTCAGTACTATAAGAAATTTGGTTCCGCAAGGACATGATAGCGTAACACGTTCGCTTTGGAGCGCAACAAATGCAGCAAATGATGACTACTGATATCTCGAGTTGAAGTCGTAATTACAAGTAAAATGCAGAACTTTTTCGGCACTGCTGATAGCAAGGATATCATATATCATGACAGTAAGTCGCGCTATAGGTTCCCGAGATATTTTGCAAACTTCCAGTACACAGCTCCAGCGCTCAAACCCGAAAAAGCGTTTACTCATTTGTAATATCCGGTAGCATGAGTGGATTCATGATGACCCAAATCAAAAAACGACATTGTAGCTTCTAAGATCTCTTGTTTCGCTACTATTAAACATAAGAATTTCGTATAATCTTCCTTCCGTTGAACAACTTGTTCAACTGCAATCTCACTGTTGATGTCTCAGCTTCAAACTAAAAAAATCTCCCGTAACATAGCTAATTCAACGTAAATAAACATAGCTATAAAGTAATAGCCCAGACTTAATACTATGTGATGGTCAACTGCGCGTCACATAGGCATCTAAACAAAATTAGGTAAAAGTTATGGCCAAAATCCCTTGCTGCATCCAAACTCAGAATTCCGACTTTTCGGTTCTTTATTCCCTTTCACTTCGTCCTATAATGCCCAGCTTATTATCAGTTGAGATGTCGATAATTTCTTCCAATTTTTACAGTCGCAAGTGATATACATGCGAATCACTTCTGCAGTATTTAGTTTTTTGCTGCTGTATCTTGCATTTTGCTTGTGAATAACTTGCGTTCCGAAGCGAGCCGACTGACTTGTTACTTTTGTTACCATTTATTTTTGCTCACCCACTTTTGAAAGCGGCTGTGTGTGTTTCGAGCAAACATTGTGCCTAGATTAAAAGGACTACGTAGCGTAAGATGACAACAAAAAATATGAGACAAAAGAAGCGAACTCGAAAATCATACACAGATCGTGGATAAGCGGTAAAAGCAAGGTGAGACAAGAAAGAACCTCTTGATATTGTTCTGTAAGAACAGACAATTCGGACTCTACAGTGTGATGAATGAAACGAAGACCAAAATTGAACTAGATGAACCACTGCAGCTGCAATTCAAGATTAGTGTCTTCTCCAAAAAGAACAGATACGAGCCTTGGCCAATTTTCTGGTCGCCTTCAAAGCCAACGCTAGTTTGTACCAAAATTAGTTTCTGACGACTTCATATCATGTCGAGCCCAAAAAGTCAGACCAAAATCAAAGCGAATGTTGATACGGTCAGCGTAAATTTCAGAGCAAAAGAGAGATTGTGACGCATATGACATTTGGTAGGAACTATTAGAAGATGCGCAAAGATGTCAAAGGAAATCACGCAGGATAGTGAC